CCAATGATTACTCTATTTTAAATTAAATAGATATTTTGAAAATATGGAAGTGGCTGTGTTTTAATGTGTTCCACCCCATGTTGACATAAATAACACATTTTTATGAAAAGTAATTGTATTTTCTAAAATAAAAATAAATGCTGTAAGAAAAACGACATTGTTTTACATTTTTGCAAACACTTCAACATCTGGCTTAATGAAATAGAATTGGATTCTTATATCTGTTTCTACATTCTAATCTCTTGCAATATATTGTGTTGGTTTGAAATATATGAAGGATACATGAAGGAAACCTGACCTCATACAGTTATGTAGATGGAAAGCATAGGAGATATTAGTATTTTGATATCTTTTTCAGATAATTCTAAACATTATTCTTTGATTCTATACAAAAATTGACACCTAGTAATATCTGAAATGGTTAAAATGTGTAATCTGAAAAAACATAAATTAACTTTTTGTATGTACTCTGTTACATTAAAACCTACTGTTTTAGTTTACACATTGAGTGGAACTTTCACTTTTAATCATGAATGATAATAAAATGCTATACATTGATTACTTGTGAAGTATTTGGTTCACAGAGTTTATGTCAAACTTAATGGGACAGGTGCAAGTTTTCCACATTATATTTCACCCTGTTTCCTTTCCTTAGAGAATGTTACTAGAAACCAATATCTATGTTTGTTGCTACTGGAATATTGTTGTTTCTAGGCTTTCTCAGTTGACAGAGGAAGGACCTATATGTGTATATACAAATCTTTGTGTGTGTGTGTGTGTGTGTAACCATTTATCTACATTAAGGTAACCATGAGCTCATACCAATGTCCCTAATTCTAATCTATTACCACATAGATTATTCTAGCCTCCTAACACTGCTTATCTTGTACACCCACTCTTTACCAGTGAGAAAGCTCTTTTCAACCACTTGACATTAATTTACTTAATTGCTCAATTCCAGTATTCATAAATAGTGGCACCATAACTGTTAACCTGGATCCCCTTGAGAAATAACTTCATAAACTAGAGCACAGTGCTTTGTATTATTTCCTTTGTCTTTAGTCTTTACCAAATCTGTTTATTTCCAAAATTACTTAGATTAGCAAATTTTTACTCCACCCCTTTCAGTGAAGTTAATTCATACATTAATAAAACAGTTGGATTCTCTTGTCAACAAAGAATGCATTCCATCCTGAAATCTAACATTCTAAATGATACTTTTAAAACTTTCATGCATTAAGATTTACTCTTTGTGCTATGTTTCTATGGGTTTTGACAAAAGCATAATTTTAACTATCCAAATTATATAATACAGTACAGTTTCATCACTCTAAAAAACAAACAAAAAACCACAATACCGACTGTACTTCATCTATTCAATTTTCTTCCCTTTCTCCCAAGCCCCTGGCAAACACTGATCTTTTTTATTATCACTATACTTTTGCCTTTTCCAGAATGTCATGTAATTGGAATCATACAGTATATATAGCCTTTTCAAACTGACTTCTTTCATTTAGCAATATGTATTTAAGATCCTTCCATGTCTTTTCATGGTTTGATAGTTCATTTCTTTTTGTCACTGACTAATATTCTTTTGTGTGGATGTACTACAGTTTGCTTGTCCATTCACTTATTGAAGGACATCTCCTTTTTAGAAGCTTTATGAATAAAGCTGTTATAAATGGTCATGTGCAGGTTTTTGTGTGGATATAAGTTTTCAACACTTGGGTACTAGGGTCTGAATGTTTTGTGTTTTCCCCAAATTCACATGTTGGAATCTTAAAGGTTAATGTGATGGTATTAGAAGATGGAACTTTTGGGAGGTGATTGGATCATGAGAGCATGCATGGGTTTAGCGCTCTTATAAAAGTGATCCCACAGAGCTCCTTAACCTCTCTCACCATATGAGAACACATTGAGAAGTTGGCAATCTGTAACACAGAAAAAAGACCTTCATCAGAACCTGATCATGCTGGCACCATCATCTTCCAGGCTCCTGAATTATAAGAAATAAATGTTTTTTGCTTATAAGCGGGACAGTCTATAGCAGCCCAGATGGATTAAGACACTTGGGTAAACACCTAAGAGTGTGATTGCTGGATTGTTTGGTAAACCTACATTTAGTTTTATAAGAAACTGCCAGTCTGTCTTCCACATTCTGGTTAACTACAGGTTTAATGGTTTTTATTTTATTTTTTAAACTTCTTTTCTTAAAGTTTTTATTTAAATTGCATTTAGTTAACATAAAGTGTTATATTAGTTTCAGGTGAACAATATAGTGATTCAACACTTCCATACACCAAATGCTCATCACAACAAGTGCCCTCCTTAATCCTCATCCCCCTGCCCACCTCCCTTCTGGTAACCATCAGTTTGTTCTTTATAGTTAAGAGTCGGTTTCTTGGTTTGCCTCTCTCTCTTTTTTCCCTTTGCTTATTTGTTTTGTTTCCGAAATTCCACATGTGAGTGAAATAATATGGTATTTGTCTTTCTCTGACTTATTTTGCTTAGTATAATACTCTCTAGTTCCATCCATGTCATTGCAAATGGCAAGATTTCATTCTTTTTCATGGCTGAGTAATATATATATATATATCCCACCAGCAGTGTAAGAGGGTTCTCTTTTCTCCACATCCTTGCTGACATCCATTGTTTCCTGTGTTGTTAATTTTAGCCATTCTGACTGGTGTGAGGTGGTATCTTATCATGGTTTTGTTTTGTATTTCCTTGATGATGAGTGATGTTGAACATTTTTTCATGTGTCTATTAGCCATTTGTATGTCTTCTTTGAAGGAATGTCTGTTCATGTCTTTTGCCCATTTCTTAACTAGATTTTTTTATTTTTTGGGTGTTGAGTTTGATAAGTTCTTTATAGGTTTTGGATACAAGCCTTTTATCTGATATGTCATTTGCAAATATCTTCTCCCATTCCGTAGGTTGCCTTTTAGTTTTAGTGTCTCTTTCACTGTGCAGGAGCTTTTTATCTTGATGAAGTCCCAATAGTTCATTTTTGCTTTTGTTTCCCTTGCCTTTGGAGATATGTCTAATAAGAAGTTGCTGTGGCCAAGGTCAAAGAGGCTGCTGCCTGTATTCTCCTCTAGGATTTTGATGGATTTCTGTCTTACGTTTAGTTCTTTCATCCATTTTGAATTTATTTTTTATGTATGGTGTAAGAAAGTGGTCTAGTTTCATTCTTCTTCATGTTGCTGTCCAATTTTCCCAACACCATTTGTTGAAGAGACTGTCTTTTTTCCATTGGATATTCTTTCCTTCTTTGTCGAAGATTAGTCAAACATAGAGTTGAGGGTCCATTTCTGGGCTCTCTATTGTGTTCCATCGATCTATGTGTTTGTTTTTGTGCCAGTGTCATACAGTCTTGATGATTCCAGCATTGTAATACAGCTTGAAGTCTGGAATTGTGATGCCTCTGGCTTTGCTTTTCTTTTTCAGGACTGCATTTGCTATTCGGGGTCTTTTGGGGTTCCATAGAAATTTTAGAATTGTTTGTTGTAGTTCTGTGAAAAATGCTGGTGTTATTTTGATGGGATTGCATTGAATGTGTAGATTGCTTTGGGTAGTACAGACGTTTTAACAATATTTGTTCTTCCAATCCATGAGCATGGAATGTTTTTCCATTTCTTTATGTCTTCCTCAATTTCTTTCGTAAGTGTTCTAAAGTTTTCAGAGTAGATGTCTTTTACCTCTCTGGCTAGGTTTATTCTTAGGTATCTTATGGTTTTTGGTATAGTTGTAAATGGGATAGGTTCCTTGATTTCTCTTTCTGCTGCTTAATTATTTGTGTATAGAAATGCAACAGACTCCTGTGCATTGATTTTATATCCTGCAATTTTGCTGAGTTCCTCTATCAGTTCTAGCAATTTTTTGGTAGAGTCATTCAGGTTTTCTGCATACAACATCATGTCGTCTGCAAAGAGTGAAGGTTTGAGTTCTTCCTTGCTGATTTGGATGCCTTTTAAAAAAGATTTTATTTATTTATTTGACAGAGAGAGAGAGTGCACAAGCAGGGGAAGTGGCAGGTAGAGGGAGGGGGAGTGGCAGGTAGAGGGAGAGGGAGAAGTAGACTCCCCGCTGAGCAGGGAGCTGGATGCTGGGCTCGATCCCAGGACTCTAGGATCATGACCTGAGCCAAAGGCAGATGCTTAACCGACTGAGCCACCCAGAAGTCCCAATTTGGATGCCTTTTATTTCTTTTTGTTGTCTGATTGCTGGGGCGACAATTGCACATATGTTCAGTCTATGTTATCTGTCTAGTTATGATAAAAACACAAATTATTCCTTTAAAAATATAGTTCATCTATTTTGATCACAAACTTTCTTAAGTTAAATAAATTTGGGGTTTCTTTACACAAAGGAATTATTTAAAAGTGCCATTACCAAATTGTGTCTGGTTCAAGTCCAATTAAGGAAACTACTTTCTCTGTAAAAAAAATAAAGCCTTCATTTTCAGAGCAGTTTTGTCTTAACGGCAACACTGAGTGGAAAGAACAGTATTCCTATATACCTCCTTGCCCTACACACTCAACCTACCCCACCACCAACACCCCACACCGGAGAGTTACATTTGGTTACAAGCAATAAACCAACATTAACACGTCATTATCACTCAAACCCCATTGTTTACATTAGGGTTCGCTCTTGGTGTTATATGTTTTATGGGTTTTGATAAATGTATAATGACATGTATCAAGCATTATAATAATATAAAGAATAGTTTCATTGCTCTAAATCCTCTGTTTCACGTATTTATCCTTTCCTCCCCTTATACTCTGGCTCCCACTGATATTTTTACTGTCTCCACGTCCACCATTTTGAATGTTATATTTTCTCTGTTACTCCACATCCATGCCAACATTTGATGTTGTCAATGTTTCGGATTTTAGTCATTCTAATGTATGTGTAGTTGAAACAATCTTATTGTTACTTTAATTTGCAATTCTTTAATGAGGTATGATGTTGAATATCTTTTCATAGCTTGTTTGAAATATATGGAATGTGTCACAAACTTACATGTCCTCCTTGCAGAGAGGACATGCTAATATTCTCTGTACTATTCCAATTTTAGTATATGTGCTTCCAAAGTGAGCACTGTCCTTTCTTTTGATTCACAAGGTAAAGGATGTAACAGGTTAAAACAAACATATAATAATGAAATGAACTGGAGTATGCCATTCATGGAAGAGTCGTGTCTATTTCTGTAAAATATAAATAAGATCAGGGCTATGCATGCAGAGAAGGAGCAAGAGGCACCTGGGAAGATGGAAGAGAAAAAATAGTAGAAAAGAGAAACTGAGGGTTCTAGAGGGGAGGGGGGTGGGGGGATGGGTTAGCCTGGTGATGGGTATTAAAGAGGGCACGTACTGCATGGAGCACTGGGTGTTATACACAAACAATGAATCATGGAACACTACATCAAAAACTAATGATGTAATGTATGGTGATTAACATAACATAATAATAAAAAAAAAAGAAAAGAGTTGTACTTTCAGAGAGAACCACAAAGGCACCACAGTTTCAGTGTATGCAGACAAAAATAGGGCAGATTTTGAGGAGGAAGTAAAAAAAAAATGGGACAGAGGGGTTACTGGAACTTAGTTTTAGAAACATTTAGCAAGTTTTCTCCCAATATCTTATTCTTTCACATTTTCCTTCAGCCTCAGGCCCTGTTTACACAGAATTAAGAAAATTCAATTTTAAAGCATGGGAAAACAGTGTGACTCCACACTTATAAATGACATCAAATTGCTTAGGGGAGAAATATTATTTTAATTCATAACTGGATACCTATATTTTAAGATGTCTGAGATTCCACACAGTGTACTAGACTCTGTTTTGGTGTTGGAAATTTAAAAAAATGGAACAGAACAGTTTTCCTGTCACAACAGAATTTATATTCTAGTGTCTGGAGACAAAAAATAAACAAACAAAAACATAGTATATAAAACATAGAGCAAAAAAGCAGGGCAAATTGAAAAGTTAATACTAATGTGGCTCACTATTTTATATAGATATACTTTGGAATAGTTTTCTTTTCATATTATATTTAAGAAAAGTTCTGATGCAAATGAAGAATTTGGCCTTGTTCTGAGAAAGAACATTTTTTTTTAAAGACTTGCTTATTTATTTTTAGGGGGGGAAGGGCAGAGAGAGAGGGAGAAAGATTCTTAAGCAGACTCCATGCTCAGCATGGAGTCTGATGCAGAGCACAATCTCAAGACCCTTAGATCACGACTGGAGCTGAAACCAAGAGTCGGTCACTTAACTGACTGCCACCCAGGTGCCCCTAGAACATTTTAGATGAGGAAATAACAAATGCAAAGGCCCACGTGCAGAACTTTTTAGTATGTTTAGAGAATAGCAAGGAGGTTGCTGTGACTGAACTAATAGTAAAGATGGCTTGTACTTTGAGATTAAATTGGCAAGAAGAGTAGTAATGGAAGTTGAGGTGAGAAAGTAACAGAGGAAATCATAGAGGGCTCTATAGGACTGTATAAAATAAGGTTTTCCTAAGGGTAAGATCTGAAAATGAGGTCAACCAACTTGTCCTAATTGGCATTTACAGCACACTCTATCCAAAAGAGCAGAATGTATTTCTATGCACATGCACATAAACCATTACCAAGATTAACCATATTGGACAATAAATAAGTATCATTAATTTAAAACTGTTTGAATGAACATGGAGACATAAGATATCAGATTACATGGAATGTCACTTAAATGATACTAAGGGAAAATTTATAGTACAAAAAGTTTGCAATAGAAATGATTAAGAGCTCAAACCAATTATCTCAGCTTTAACCTTAAGAAACTGGAAACAGAAGAGCAAAATTTGTGAAGACTTCTTAGGTTCATTAATATTGTTTAGATTTTAGTTTTTAAAAGTATATGTTACTCCTTCAACAGATTATTATGGTACTTTATACTTATATTGATGGCTATAAAGGTAATATGTATTTGTTTCAGAAACTGGAGAAAACATTATAAAGAAGCAGGGAAAAGAAGTCACTCACAATCCCAGCAAACTGAAGTAAACATTCAACATTTTGTCGTATGATGATAATTTCTAGAAAAAGGTTGAAAATATGCATAGTTTTATTGTTTATAAAATTGTGATTTCACAGGGAAGAATTGAAGGTATTCATCAGAAATGAGCAACTGAAGGGGTGCCTGGGTGGCTCAGTTGGTTGAGTGTCCAACTCTTGGTTTCAGCTCTGGTAATGGTCCCAGGGTTGTGGGATGGAGTCCCGTGTCGGGCTCCATGCTCAGTGGGGAGTCTGCTTGGGATTCTCTCTCTCCCTCTCCCTCTGCACCTCCCCAACCCTCTCTCTCTAAAACAAACAAACAAAACAAACAAACAAACAAATGACCAATTGAAGGGAATACTAGTAAAGGGGAGATATTGAATTGGTTAAAAATGCCTGAATGGAGGATAATTTTGTCACTATGGCCTTCCATCATGAGCTGTGATTTTAGAAATTTTAGAAATTAGATAAGCAAGGAGGAAAGAGATACAGAAAAAGATAAATGGGTACACACACACACATATGTGGAGAGAGACTGATTTGTATATTAAGTTGAATGGTGGTCCCCAAAAAGATATGCCCAGATAACCCTCAGAACCTGTGAATTTGACTTTATGTGGAAAAAGGGTCCTTGGATATAAAACTAAATTAAAGATCTCCAAATGAGATCATCATGGATTATCAGTGTTGGGTCCTAAATCCAGCGACAAGTGTCTTTCTAAGAGATGCACAGAAGAGACACATGAAGAGAAGACAAATATGTGAATATGTGAATATCTGTGAATAAGGACACTGATAGGGATAATGTAGCCACAAACCAAGGAATGCCTGAAGCCAGCAGAAGCAGGAAACACATGAAAGGATTTTCCTCTAGAGCCTTCAGAGGGACCATAGTCCTCTGACACCTTGATTTCACACTTCTAGTTTCTGAAAGTGTGGGAGAATAAATTTCTGTTGGTTTAAGTCACCATTTGTGGTCATTTGTTACGGCAGCCTTAGGAAACTAATACGGAATTATCCCTAATTTTTTATACACTGGCGTAGATGCTTTACATATATCATTTCGCAATATATGATATTGTGGGCCTTCTTCTCTTTGCTCAAAGCAATTCAATTGTACCTGGCAGCATTATAAGTACTTCAATGAGTATTCAGTGTATTCCCACGAACTCTTTTGCTTTGAGATCAAAGAAAAGAAAGTTCAATGCTTGGATGTCTGGTGTGGGGAGAGAATAGAGAGGAAAGCCGTGGAAATAAGACAGTGGCTTCTAGCTGGCCCTGTCAAAGGACCTTAGTGGAGAACAAGACTACAATCAGAAGCATCAGGGTTGTGTTAGGTAAGAGTTGAAGTAGTCTTTAAGGGTTTTTAGTGATACAGTATGTCATGCAGTATGGAGATTTGCATTCTTATCATTTGCTAAAGGTCTGATGACATTGTGAGGTCTGGTATATCAGTTACAGTGCCTGGTTGAGACATAGCAGATCAGTGGTAGGAATCATGAATCCCAGTGGGAAATGGTGGAAAATTACTCTAGAAATGGTGTATTGACACTCCTTGCAGAAACAAACTGTTCAGAAACACACATGAATAGCCTCTGGGATCTCAGAAATACTTGCAAGTATATAAAGGATAGTAGGCAGAAGGCAACAAAAAGAGCAAAATTTGACTGACTGTTGTGACAGTATCCAAACCCTAAAAAGCTTGGGGAATTTAGTTACAATTCTCTATGTAAGTCTTATAACATCTCTTCTGGGAGAGATGTGAACATGGCAAACCAATCTCTGAATACTAATTGCAATTTGTTGAGAATATAATTAATTGTGGGCTTAATCATCAATTACTGGACCCTTTATTTAAATAGCATAAGATAAAGCATTTGAAATTCCATTATGATATTGCATATTATTAAGATAATAATAAAATTATATAAAAAACAACATAATAACAACACTAGTTGGAGAAATAATTATACCAGACGTAGATACTTGATGTCCCTATATACACTCAGAAAGTTTGTGGAAACCTTATAGATGAACTTTATTTTTTTAAGATTTTATTTATTTGGGGGCACCTGGGTGGCTCAGTTGGTTAAGCGACTGTCTTCGGCTCAGGTCATGATCCTGGAGTCCCGGGATCGAGTCCCGCATCCGGCTCCCTACTCGGCAGGGAGTCTGCTTCTCCCTCTGACCTTCCTCCCTCTCATGCTCTCTGTCTCTCATTCTCTCTCTCTCAAATAAATAAATAAAATCTTTAAAAAAAAAGATTTTATTTATTTGACAGAGAGAGACACAGCGAGAGAGAGAACACAAGCAGGGGGAGTGGGAGAGGGAGAAGCAGGCTTCCCGCTGAGCAGGGAGCCCAATATGGGACTCGATCCCAGGACCCTGGGACCATGACCTGAGCCGAAGGCAGATGCTTAACGACTGGGCCACCCAGGCACCCTATAGATGAACTCTAAAACAATAAACTTCATGAATCTTCTAGATCTCTGAAGATTATATGACCTCCTGAAATTACACGATCTCCCTGAGTATCTCATTTTTTATTAGACAGTGGAAGAGTATGTTTAATTCTATAATTTTTATTTTTTTAATTTTTTTTTTTAAGATTTTATTTATTTGACAGAGAGAGACACAGCGAGAGAGGGAACACAAGCAGGGGGAGTGGGAGAGGGAGAAGCAGGCTTCCCGCTGAGCAGGGAGCCCGATGCGGGGCTCGATCCCAGGACTCTGGGATCATGACCTGAGCCGAAGGCAGGCGCTTAACGACTGAGCCACCCAGGCGCCCCTAATTCTATAATTTTTAAAGACACATCACATTTTCAAAAAATACCAAAATTTCTCTGATTCAGGGCTCCTGAAAGTCTATTTTCACCAGGAGTTAGTCCCTATGACAATATGATTCCCAGAGAACTAAGGATTTAGGAAAAACACAGTTTCAAAGTGATTGTTTTTGAGTTTATTTTTAGTGTTTAAAATGCGATGCCTAATGGTACTTGCTTTTACAACACTGACCATTGTTAATAAGAGAGTGTTTGCAATGGCTAATGAAGGTGACAATGAA